GGGATTAAAATGTAGTTCGATTTGCTTTAATTATTATTGATTATTATATTGAAAGTATATATTTATTTTTATGAAAACAGTAAATATATTATTATTATTATTATTAAATAATTTATCATGATTAACTGTTTCCGACGGTTAAAATTTGCTGGATTGTCCCATTACCGTTATAATTTTTAATGTATAATTAAATAATTATAAAGAAATTGTAATTTAATTACTAAGAAGGGGCTACTAAAAGAATTAATAAGTCGCTCTTACTAAAAGCCAAACTTGAAATCTTGTGGCTATTAATAAGTTAAGCAATTTAGTGCACATATTATATAATTAAAAATGAACACAATACATTCCACAATTCACAGACGACTGAGACTCCCTCTCAGCCACGGAATATATTTTCTATACACTTCTTAATTAAATATTCTTCTTGGATCGGCAGCCTGCAGGCCAGAACTGGTAGAGAAGTTCAACCACCTAAAACTTAAACCCATAACCCATATATATTCATCCTTCCTGGTGCAGCTATTTCATATTTGCTGCTATTCCAGAAATGTCATGGGAAGAATTGAAGAAGAAGAAGAAGACGACTGTGAATATAATGTTGAGAGTGACAGTAGAGAGATAGATATTGATGCGATTCAATCTGAACATACATTTATGGTTAATCAGCCATATATATGGTTTTGATTGAGCCGCGTCAATATCTCTCTTTCAACCATATATCTGTCCTTACTCGCTACAGCGACGGCGATGATGATATATGATGGTAGCTAATTAAGCTACAGGCCTACAGCTAAACTAGGAACAATTTGCAGAGGTTTTTTATTTAGTAATTATTTTGAGGTATGTTATTGGCCGGACCTTAGCTTGTTTGGATGCTGCTTTCTGTTAATTGTTCTTCTGTTCTTTTTTTTTGATTCCTAGCTAGGGTTTCTGTATGTTGTCTGTTTAAGAAACAGATAGAACAAACACCGCCAAACTTCATGTATGTATATATGGGAGCAACTGTTTTTACACTGAGGAATATTTTGAGGTTGTCCCTAGCTAGTTCTGTCTCGGATTTTAGTCATTTGCAGGTAGCTAGAGTAGCTTCTTGTAAGATAACGAAACTCCAAACTCCCTAGTCCCTACCTAATTGCCTTCTATGAATAGAGAAATATATTAGGAAAATTTAATTTACAGATTCATAGGTTTGTTTTTAACATAATTTTTTAGCACCTTTCTGAATCGTGACATTGATTTTTTCTGAAAAGTTGTAGTCTCATCAATTACCTTTTTAGTGCTTCTTGATCAATTAATTATTGCCTTCATTGTATGTAAACAAAAATAGACTAAAAACCATATTGTAGTCAAATCAAAGTTATAAGAATGAATGTTTTGGCAAATTTTATCTTCTTCACGACTTTTGCTCCTTCCAAATTATGAAGATCACATTATATTCTCCAAGACCTTCTATTCTCTTAATTAATAGGAATAGGGGAACTCCTTATAGTCTTTATCTCCACAATTCTGAATTAGTTTGAATCCTAAACTTATGAATTTTTTCACCGTTTTGATCTTGCGTCTATTAGCACAACAAAACTTCTGTACTTATTTTGTGTTGGTTGGTTAGTTGAGTTAATTAGGCCAAACACAATCCTTGAATCTTCATTATTGACCATCTTCCAAAAATCAGGATTTGGTAATTTTCAAATTAAAATTATAAAACTAGTGCCAAGTACCTTGTGGTCTAATGACTTCATTGTTACTTTTCATAGGGAAAGTTTCACGTTCGAGTATTCCTTCTCCTGTGTTATTGTGAATCTACCTTTATCATTCATCGAGTTCTCTGATAGGCGACACTGCCTTCTCCTCTCAAACCATCTTTGATATTGCCTATCCAAATCCAACCTCGATAAATACCTTACAAACAATTCATCACTTTTCCTCCGTTAAACTTACTTCTTCCATCAACTATATGTTCTTGAAGACTCAATTTGTTACATTTCTCAGAGGATAAGTTGATGGCACATTACTATATTCGGCTTTGTTTATTCAGACTCTGGATGAGTGTTCCGTTGTAGCCAATTCTGTGATCGAAAATTGGGTCCGGCAGGATTCTTCTATCATGTCCACGCTCGATCATCTCGTCTGTGTTCGATGAAGTTTTGTATGTTGTAGTAGGGCATGCCACTTCCGAGGCCTTATGACAGACTATTAAAGCCGCTTTTAGGTCCTCATCTGATCAGGCACGATCTCCCGCTGTAGTCTTTGCACCAATATGATTCCACTACGAGTGAGTATCTTGGCAGAGTCAAGGTTTTGATTGGACTTGTTGTAGAAGCTAATCGAACAATTAGTTTGGTGGATGAACATAATATATATATGTTCAAAGGTCTTCACCTTGAGTACCGTGCAATTGTTCAACACAACGACTTACATTTTGTTTGTAACAAAGTAGTATCAAATGAACTACAAGTAAATTACATCTCTACAAAAAAATAAAAAAAAAATAAAAAAAAAAAAAAACAAACAAATTGGTAGACATCTTCACCAAGCTACTAACCACAACAAGATTCAATGATCTTAAAGAGACAAGCTTAATGTTCTCTCTAGAGAACCTTAAGCTTGAGGGGCTATTAAGACGTACGTACTTTGTATACTAGTCACACTAGAATTCTTTCTCTATCTCCTTGTGTTATTGTTTATCTACCTTTTACTCTTCCTCATCTGACTAAGATTAACTCTTTGTATTATCCTTTTCCTGTACTTTGTAAATTGGATTGATCAATATAAACATCATTGTAGAATTATTGTTTTCATAGTTAGTGCATTCAAATAAAAATAATAATTAGAAAACCAGTTTGAAAACACAAAATGCAAATTAAATTTAAAAATTTTCTTAATCTATATATATTAATTTTGTTAAAAAAAAAAAAAAAGCAAACATAATATTACACAAATTTTATATTAAGAAAAAATATCATTATTATTTTTTTATAATGTTCAACTCCTAATATAGTAATAAAACTTTTTAATTGGTGGGCCTTGGGGGCAACTCTAGTCAAATTGGTCGAGCAGTAAGTTTTAAGTTTGACTCCGAATGAGAGTGACCTATTGATTTTTTTTTTTTTTTTTTTTGGCTTTAAGCCGATCAACTATGAAATACCTAGGTTAATTTATCTCCTTATAGTATTTTGTTGATTATGAGCATAAGGTGGAATTTATCTAATGCACATCTAATATTTAAATGATTATTTATCCTATTTTTTTCACCCTAGCATCCCTCGTCAAAGGGCCAAGTCAACCCTCTGAAAGTCTAGTACCCAATAATTACTCTACTGGATTCTACTGCAGACTTAATAATAGCTAGGACTGATGACGATCAAGTGGGCTTTATTGTGCTTACCTAATACATGCGAGTACTATTTTATTTAAAAAAAAAAAAAACTAAACGAATATATTAATTCAAGTTGGAAAATAATACATTACAAATGATAAATGAAGGGTTTAAAAATCACTTCAATTGAACAGTCATATAAACAAATTGTCTAGTTACTAATTGAGCTGTCTGATTTGTTGATTTTTTAACTTTTTTTTTTTATCTTTATTAATTAAAAAAAATATCAACCTTTTATTAATCAAAATCTTAATATCTTAGTTTATTTTTATATATCTTTTTTACCTATATCAACTAATTTAACATATAACAAACAAAAAAAATAATAATTTAATAATTAATTTTATCAAACATTTTAATTTCAATTAATTAGCTTATTAGCTACTAACTTTTTAACTTGTAGATTTAAATTAACTTTTTAGTTAGGCATGCCAAATAGAGCCACCGATAGGACTGTGCTAGATCAAACCAAGTAGTGTAGTATGTGAGTCGTGTACGGACCAACATAATGTAGGCTAGGCCTAAGTTAGTCAATTCGGGTTTAACTTATCGTTGTCATATCTAATTTATTATTGTCAAATATTAAATTTAAAATATTCTACATGTACTTCCTTTTTTATTACTTATAACGTGACATGCTTTAATTGTTTAATATAAGGGGTTATGATTTTTATCCATTTTTTTTCTTCTCTAATAAAATTTGAACATTTAGTGGGATCTATCATAGTAAAATTTGAAAGTAAATTTTTGGAGTCCAAGTAGTATTTTTGTAAATTAAAATAAGCCAAAATGTGTCGTATGTTTCAGCAATCGTTATGTTATGGACCCATGTCCAGCATGCTCCAGCATGCATGCTGGACACGGGTAACAGTGCCGTTATGCACTGTTATTTTTTTTTAAATTTCAGACCGCTTCGTTATAGGAGTATATGTTCATAATTTTATTACTATATGTTCATAATTGTAAGTTCATAATGTCAGAGCTCTATGTTCATAATTCTATAACTGTACATTCCTACTTCCATAATTGTACATTCATAATTCCGTAACTGTACATTCATAATTCAATAACTGTAACTTCATAATTTTCGAAGCTCTATGTTCACAATTTTAGAGCTCTATGTTCATAATTTTGTCACTATATGTTCATATTGTAAGTTCATAATGCCAGAGCTCTGTGTTCATAATTTCATAACTGTACATTCATAATTGCATAACTGTACCTTCATAATTCCGTAACTGTACATTTATAATGCAATAAGTGTAAAATCATAATTTTCAAAGCTCGACGTTCACAATTTTAGAGCTCTATGTTCATAATTTTATCACTATATGTTCATAATTGTAAGTTCATAATGTCAGAGCTCTGTGTTCATAATTTTGTAACTTACATTCATAATTCCATAACTGTACATTCATAATACCATAACTATACATTCATAATGGCACAAACGAATAATAGCGTTAAAGTTAATTTTTTTTTTTTTAAACTGAAATGATGCCTTTTCGCTGAAAACGACTTCGTTATGACTCGTGTCCACAATCTGCATAATTTGCGATGTTTCAGCAGGTCGGCTGAAGCAGAAGTGAACTGTGGAGCAGATCATAGAGACCATTATAGCGACCGGAAGTTGCCGCATGTCTGATATTTTCCACATTTAGCTACGTTTGTTACAGGAGAACAGTTACCTTAAAAGAAAAGGCAATTGCAGAGAAAATCTTCTTCTCACGTGTAGTATTGGAGCGGAAGAAAGAGAAGACGATGAAGTTTTCACATGATCGACCAATTAAGAATACATGAATGGTTAATAATCTGCATGACTAAACTACCTTTGGTTAATGATCACAACTCCTTTATGAGCTAACGTTAAGATGATTCAGGTGAATTTAATGATGTTTAGATATGTTTGGTGTTTCTTGAAACGGAGCAGAGTATTGCTATAATTAGTGCTCCCAACTGCCAACGAGCTGGAACCTTTAATTTCAACGCGTTGCAGCAATGGTGGCAGTTCCTCAATGTCGGTGAAGACAGCTGATGATGAGTCATACCAGAAGAGCGGCTCTGCAAACGAAAAGGTACCATCTTTTCTTGTTCAGTCCCCACCATACGCCGCTCAAATTCCAAGACACCGACGCTCCCTACAATTACTTTTCTTAGTACTCCGTAATTTATTTAGAATAATAAATTATAGAAAGCAAAGGTGAGTGTTTAATGAAGAGATAAAGATGCCTGCACCATATGGTGAAATTTCAGGAGCGGGATTAAAGTGAAGTGGGCTTTGCTTCTCTGCTAAGTTAGAGAGAAAGAGAGAGAGAGAGAGAATGGGGAAGATGAGTTCTTGGGGGTGTTTAATGGTGATGGTAATTGCACTGTCACTGCAAGAGAATAGCGTCGACGCGGAAGATCCATACAGGTTCTTTACATGGAATGTTACGTATGGCGATATCTATCCGCTTGGAGTCAAGCAACAGGTATATATATTCTTCATTTTTTTGTCTTCTTCATAGTTGTGTGTTTGTTATTCTTGCGGATGGGGGATAATATGCAATGTGTTTGATGAAATGCCGCAGGGAATATTGATAAATGGGCAGTTTCCAGGGCCGTCAATTGAGTGTGTGACCAACGACAACTTGATTGTCAACGTTTTCAACAGTTTGGATGAACCCTTTCTCCTTTCTTGGTACATAACTCTCTTCTAGCATTTGTGCCTTCTGGTATTAGTTTTTCTGTGCAATTTCTTTCAAAATTCAAGAAATTTAGAGCAAAGAATACAGCTTTGTGTTATCTGTAGATGCATCCTTGCATTTACCCACTAGATCTGCCTGTTTAGTTGAAGAACAGCTAGGCTCTTCCACTGTGCTTGAGCAAAATCTTTTGGTGTTCCCTCAAATATAAGCATATTTACAGTCCAGAACTCCAGATATTGTAGACCTACCCTGTCCTACATGTAGTAAAGATTCAGAAATGTCTACATCTGGTTAATAATTATTTGAAAACAAGACAACCTGTGATTTAGATGATAGTCACATTGGTTGTTGATACTTACTAATCCAAATCCAGGAATGGTGTGGAGCAGAGGAGGAATTCATGGCAGGATGGTGTTTGGGGTACTAATTGTCCTATTCCACCCGGCAGCAATTTCACTTATGTCATGCAGGTCAAGGATCAAATTGGGAGCTTCTTCTACTTCCCCTCCCTTGCCTTCCACAAGGCTGCTGGAGGCTTCGGTTCCATCAACATCGCCAGCCGTTCTGTCATTCCTGTTCCTTTTCCTCCTCCTGCTGGAGAATACACTATACTGGCTGGTGACTGGTTCAAACAAAACCACACTGTGAGTAACACAATTCAAAAAAAATAAAATTGATCCAGTCTTCATTGTTTCTTAATTCAAGAAAATGGCACCAAAGTTTTAGCACTCTCTGATGCTCTGCACTTTCCAGGCCTTGAAAGGAACTTTGGATGATGGGCATGAACTTCCCTTCCCAGATGGGATTCTGATCAACGGGCGTGGATCAAATGGTTATACATTTACAGTTGATCAAGGTATAATAATTAATACATCCAGCATATGACTCGAAAAAAAAAAAAAAAAAAAACTGTTTAAATTATGCATGGTGTTAATGGATTGTGAAATTTGATGTGTGCAGGAAAGACTTACAGGTTTAGGATAACGAATGTGGGGCTCACTACTTCTTTGAACTTTAGAATCCAAGGGCACAAGATGGTATTGGCTGAGATAGAAGGCACACATACAGAGCAGAATACATACGATTCCCTCGACATTCATCTGGGGCAGTCTTATTCAGTGCTAGTGACTGCTGATCAGCCTGCAAAAGATTATTACATTGTCTTCTCGACTCGCTTCACATCCCAGGTGATCACGTCGACTTCCATTCTTCACTATGGTAACTCAGCAGAAAGCGTTTCGGGACCACCTCCTGGTGGTCCAACCACTGAAATTGACTGGTCTCTGAATCAGGCCAGGTCCCTCAGGTAAAAATCCATAGCAGTGTAGTTCATGTGCTTTCAAGATTGTTTTTTCTTAAGAGGTTGGTGATCAAACAGGCGAAATCTAACGGCTAGTGGACCACGACCCAATCCCCAAGGCTCGTACCATTATGGGTTGATCAACACCACCCGGACCATTAGACTTGCTAATTCTGCTCCAATCATTAATGGAAAACAAAGATATGCAGTCAACAGTGTTTCATTCAATCCAGCAGATACGCCGCTTAAGCTTGCTGATTACTTCCAGATTCAGGGAGTCTTTACACTCGGGAGTATCCCCGACACCCCAACTGGCTCCGGTGCTTACCTTCAGACCTCCGTCATGGCTGCTGATTTCAGAGCTTTTGTTGAGCTCGTGTTCGAGAATCCAGAAGACACAGTGCAGTCATGGCATATCGACGGCCACCATTTCTTTGTAGTTGGGTAAGTTTTGATCGAGTTCACATATTTCATTGACTAACAGAAAATTGGCATAAATTCAAGAAATGATCTAAACATTGATTACTTTTCTTAACAGGATGGATGGAGGACAGTGGACTCCAGCAAGCAGATTGGCATACAACTTAAGGGACACGATTTCTCGTTCCACTGTACAGGTATATCCTAAGTCTTGGACTGCCCTATACATTCCTTTGGACAACGTTGGAATGTGGAACATAAGGTCTCAGAACTGGGCACGCCAATACTTGGGTCAACAGCTTTATCTTCGAGTTTATTCGCCTGCAAATTCCTGGAGAGACGAGGCTCCAATTCCAGGCAATGCTCTTCTTTGTGGTAGAGCTTTAGGTCATTAAAGTTATTGTAGAGATAGATATACTATCTATAGTATCATATTGTCAATGTATGGCTGGGGGCTGGCCCCTTCAATTTACTAGCTTCCTCCATTAAAGTTATTGTAGAGATAGATACTTCAATTCTTAATTAGTGTAGGAGCTGAAGTTTGCAGTCCACGTTCACACCATTCTGTTGTAATCCATCTTTTCCCAGACATGGAAAGTTTCAATTGTTTCTAAGTTCACGGAAATTAAACTTAAGTTTTTTGTCAATGAGTGCTGGTCCAAAGTAACTCTAACTAATAGTGCAATAAAGTTTTCTAATTGAATTTTTTTTTAAAGACTTATAAACTAAAATAGTACAATTACATCATATTATTACCTATTAATTTTATGTAGATGGCTCAACATGAACCCGTAAATGAAATATATGATAATTTGTCAAAATAAATAGACATCCACCGCCTTCCACCACCTCTTTCTCCTCCTCCCTTCCCCCCTCTCCATCTCCACCCTCCGGCCTCTACCTTGCTTCCGCACCTCTTGCCACAATAATCGCAAAGTCCAGATCTAAGCAAGAAGCCCCTCACCATTATCAAAGCTCACTTCTTCAGAAAGAAGCCTTTTGCTGCCAAACCGCCAGATCTGGCCATAAGAGCATCCACAATGGTTGGGGAGAATTGGGAGATAATGTAAGAGTGATTAGGAGAGAGAATGTGGGAAGGGGAGGAAAAAAATAAAAAAATCAAAATCAAAAATTAAAAAACAAAAAAAAAAAAAAAAAAAAAAAAGTAAAGGGTCAGGCGCGCCGTTCGGCGCGCCTGACGCGCCCGTGTGGGAGGCTGCTGTGCGCGAAACGCGCACATCAGCCTCCTTTTTCTTCTCTTTCCTTTTCTTCTTTTTCTGCATTCTCCCCAATTTTGCAGAACAAATATTTTGATAAATAATCCCACCCCACATTTGTTATTATCCCCACCCAAGATAATTTATCTGACATTATCTCCATAATATCCACTGATGTGGATGCTCTAAGAAAGAAGCATATTCCATCACCTTTTTCAAGGTTATTTTTCCCATAAAAAGGAAAGGGGAAAATCATAGAGGCTTTGGGTTTGGTAAATGTGAAAGTGGTTTGTACAGCTTTGGGTTTGGTTTAAGAGGAGTCAGTAGCTTAGTTTTGGGGTTTTGCTCTTCGGGTTGTTTTTCTGTTAATTTACAGTTTTTTGTGTTTTTTATCTCGTTTCTTTGACGAGTTTTCTCTTTCTCATTTTTATGATGAGTTTCCTCTATCTCGTTTATATGACGAGCTTTTGTATGAAGCTTGAAATGCTAAAAATGGTCATGGCTTTTGTTAACTTCATCCTGGGCAATTTAGAAGACAATGGAAAAGTGCCTCTTCTGAACTCTGATATGAAATTCAATTCAGTTGATAGGCTACCCTCTGAGAAATCTCTTAATCCCACTGATGTAAGATCGTGGGTTCTCAAGACGGTAATATTGTCGATGCACCAAAAGATGGAGATGAATACCCAGGTGATGTGCAGAACTTCTGAGATAATCTTGTATACAGTGGGCCAGATCATTGAGTAAGTATTTAAAGAAGCTTTAAGGCCCTTCAAGGAGTTTAGCTTCCAATTTGTAATACAGTTTGCGATTCAAATTTTCTGCATTGTTAGAAAAATTGTTTCTATGCCTGACTGTAAAAAATGGCTTACCATTTCACTGATCTTTGATGTAATCGTTTCATGTTATGACTTAATGAATTAAGTACTTTATTTCAAAAAAAAAAAAAAGAAATTTTTTGAGTGGTGTTAAGCCAAGTCAACTATATTTTGAAAAATATTTGTACATGTAAATTTTATATAGAGTTTGAGCTTGACGATGTAGATGGTGCTCCCTTGTATTTGTCCTTGACTATAGCTATTTATAGTAAAAGAAGAGGTGATATGTATGGTAAGCATGCCTCTTTATGGTAATCAGGTAATAAATGTTGAATAGATTATTATTTGGGTGTTGCCACCGTCTAGTAAAACGTAACTGCTGGAAATTATGGAATTTCCGACCACCTGAAAGTGATCTTAAATCAAGTCGAAAATAAAAATAGTCTGAAATATCAATAAAGATTTTTCCAGATACCAAAGTGGTCGAACAAAGCTTTCGACTTGATTTAAAATCATTTTTAGGTGGTCGAAAATTTCATAATTTTCAACCGTGCGTGGGTGTAAATAAATTTATAATTGTAAAAAGGATAAAAATTTCAGTGTAAATAGCAATAAAGGTGTAAATATGGATATTTACACCACTCTGGTCAAATGTAATTTAGGAGATTCTATTAATAAATTTTTAAGGGAAAATGGCACTTCTTCCCCCTAAGTTATATACTTATAACACTTTTTCCCCCCGAATTATTTAAGTGGCTCTTTTTCTCCCTGAAATGCTAAATGGATATATTTACCTTTAAAATTAATATTTCATTTATTTTTATTTTCCAACAAATTATTACTGTAATTTGGTTCAAACCAAACAGATACTATAGCAACTAAACCAAAATATTCCAATTACAATTTATAATCAAAACACAATATTTAGAGTTTATTAAAATCGCGAACCGGAATGGCCGGTTCATGTTCCGAACTGAAAAAATAAAATACATTTATTGTTGAATTTAGACTATTTTAAAATAAAAAATAAAATTTTAAAATAAAAACGGTTCAAAATCGTGAACTGGATCCGGAACCGCCGATTCACGGTTCATGATCCCGTTTTTTTTTTTATTCTTAAATTTAATAAATTGAAATCCAAATATTGGGTTCTAGATATGAATCATAACTGAAAACTTTTAATTCGATTGCTATAGTGTCTGGTTCAGTTCAAACTGAACCATGGTAATCGCTACATATACGCAATAATTTGTTGGAGAAGTAAAATAAATAAAATATTTGCTTTAAGGGTAGAAATGTCAATCTAATATATTTAGGGAAAAAACCACCACTTTTAAAATAATTGAGGGGACTAATGTGCTTACATAAATAATTGAGGGGAAAAAAATGCTATAAGTATATAATTTAAGGGGAAAAAGTGTCATTTTCTCATTTTTTAATTAAAAATTTAAAAATTAAAATATTTATAAAAATAAAATAAATAAATAAAAAACAACCCCTCGCCTTCTCCAGTGAGAAAGCAGCCCAGTGGGCAGTGAGTCACCTTCTACCTGGGTCGTTTTCTCCGGTGAGAAAGCGACCCACTGGGCTACCTTCTCACCGGAGAAGGCTAGGGGTTGTTTGTTTGTTTGTTTTTTTAAATAATAATTATTTAATTTAAAAATAAATAATAAATATTTTAAATAAAAACATAATGTTTGATTAACTTTAATGAAGGTAATGTAAATAACAATTTTCCATTTATACCACCTATAAAGTTAGTACATTTATTAAAAGGTGGTGTAAATAGTAATTAGGATTGTGCAAATAGAATAAAAGGTAAGAAGATGGTATGATTGATTGAGATGATAACCTTGATTAGTGGGACACCATAATTGGTGGAATGAGCTGAGAAGATAACTGAGGCCGGAATGATTATTTACTTTCATTAATTATGGGATAATCACCATTCAACACCTTCATTTAATTTGTGACCAGTGCTATAATTATCTTTTAGAGCTACTTTGACCAGGTTAATTCTATAGGTTAGATCGTTAACATATCTTCCAAGCCTTAATTATTACTAGGCATGTTTCGTCATGTTACCATTAATTTGGCATTGACTAGGCTAAAATATGGTGCCCTTATACTTCATAGTTACATGGATATTTTTTTTGAGTGATGGTTACAATGTAATATCTGTTCATAATTATTTTCTCAATATACTAAAACACAAAGAATCAATATCACCTCCATTTAAGCTCGAACTCACATCCTCTCATATAAGAGTGCAACTTTAATGCACTAGTCCACAAGATCTTGGCTACATGAATTTTAATTATACAATTCTTTATTTTATTTTTTGATTTTTTTATTATAAAATGTTACAAATTTTTTTGGTAAAAGGAATATTACTTTTTAAAAGCCATTAGTCATTGTCGATGGCCAATGGATGCTATCCACGAAAATAACCACCAATTGTTGATATCTTTTTTAAAAAATTGTACTATTTAAAATTTAAAAATTTAAAAATTTAAAATTTTAAAAATTTAAAAATTTAAAAATTTAAAAATTTAAAAATTTAAAATTTTAAAAATTTAAAAAACAACTAATACTGTGTAATTATAGTTCACGTAAGTATGTGAACGCTACAAGTTAGAGCATCCACATCAGTGGATATTAGGGATATATTGTTCGATGAATTATCTTTGGTGGGGATAATAACAAATGTGAGGTGGAGTTATTTTACAAGATATTTGTCCTGCAAATGTGGAGATAATGTCAGCAAAAAAAAAAGAAAAATAAAAAACTAACACTGGCTGTGCGCACAGCCAATGTCTACACGGGTGCGTGCAATGCACGCGCCCGTGTAGCGCGTCAGGCGCGCTGTCAGCGCGCCTGACGCGACAGATTTTTATTATTATATTTTTTTCAATTTTTGTTTTGTTATTTTTTTTTCTTTTTTTTTTCTCTCCCCTCCCACATTCTCTTTCCTAATAACTTTTAGGGGTCGTTTGGTTCACGGAATGTCAGATTACCTTAGGGAATGTTAGATTGCTGGGAATGTTAGATTTCTATGTTTGGTTAAAATTGGGGTATGTAATATAATCATGTTTGGTTTAGGGTTATCTTTTATACACACTATAATATCCTTAACATATTTTCATATATTTTAATAAATTTAAAAATTAAAATAAATAAATAAGATAACGGTATCATATATAATTACATGATTTTAAAATATTAACTAAAATCTTGAACTTGAGAAACAAAATTATTTTATATGCTAACATAACATAATAAAAATAAAAATATATATAATTACAAAAATAATTATATATATATATATATATATAGAAGAGCGCTCATATGCGGCGGGGTCTTACGGTGCGGCGGTGCGGTCAAATTCCAAAATACACCAACAGTGTTAACAATATGCACCAACAGTGTAATAAAAACACACCCCAATGAAATGTAATAAAACATCACAAAATACACCACAGACTCAAAAAAACACACCATATAACTCACCACCCCCAATGGTGTATTTCCGAACAGTGTATGGTGTTTTTACTCACACCTAATGGTGTGTGTTTGGTGATGCAGGGCTCTGTTTACTCTGTTTTGTGTGGTGTATTTCCTAAAGTTGATGGTGCATATTTGGTGAACTATTGGTGTTGCCGCACCGTAAGAAATAACCGCACCTGAACCCGCCTCTATATATATATATATATATATATATATATATATATATATATATATATAATAATAATAATAATAATAATAATAATAATAATAAACTAACATAACCAAGGTTATCTTACATTACCTAAGATTTTGAAGGGAATCACATTCCCTTCAAAATCCTATGTGGAGGGAATGTGACATTCCTGGGGAATGTTAGATTCCCTGAGATAATGTGAACCAAACATAGGAATGTGAGCTTTGGAATGTCACATTCCTTTGGTTATGTTATATAACTTGAACCAAACGCCCATTTACATTATCTCCCAAATCTCCTCAACTAATGTGGATGCTCTTAACTTTGGCCACTAGTTGTCAGATTAGTCTTGAATAGGTAATAATAGTCTCTAAACGTATTATTTATCGGATTAGGGAACTTATTTAGTGTTTTTGAATTAGGTGATCTAGTTACACTATTCTTTATAGTTTTTTTTTTTTTTTTTGAAAAGCTATTCTTTATAGTTAGATGGCGAATTTAATATTTCCTAGAAAGATAAAATCATTTGGAAAACTTTGTGCGGAATTGAATTGGTCAATATATATAGCACGTTCCTTTCTTTAAACAAGCAAGTGGTGAAGTGGCTACATCTTTTATCTTTATACCATGCCCTTATGAACTCCTAACTACCTTCTGCCGCCACATTAATCACTCTTAACATTTTCCAAATGGTGTCAGCTCACAGCCAGAGATTGTAGGATAGCCTAGCCTGTAGGGTATCCCATGGCAAAGCAGAATAAATTAAAGTTGACCCAACCAAAGATGGAAAAGAACTTCTATATAAGTAGTATAGTGACATGGAGTGACTCTCTCAAATGGAAGGTCATAGGTTAGTTTGAATCCCCAGTGAAAGCGATAGATTAAAAAAAATAGTTATGAACAGATACTACACAGAGTCAGTAGTACTAAAAAAAAACATAAAGAATGCTCATCACTCATAAGTTAGAAATTATAGTTTAGCAGACATAATAACAATAAGTCGTAAACATAAAGATATGTGATAGAAATTATAGTTTAGCAGAAATAATAACAATAAGTAAACATAAAGATATATATATATATATATATGTGATATGGCCCATGAACTTTACACCAAGCATGGCCATATATGCACCCCTTTGTCGGTACAGGACTTGGATGGGTAGTCTTCTTGCATGCATGGTGGGACATTTTGCTTTATAAGTCTTTTGACTTTTGGTTGTATCATTCAATGTTCTCTCTATTTCCCCAACTGCTTGAACGCGTACTGGCCATAACCATGCACATTGCACCATTAAATGGTGTTTTGAAGACTGATGAGTAAACAAAGAGAAATACAACTTAACCCAGCTTCCAAATTAAGGCTATATGCTTGTGTATATATATGGTGGACTTTTGCCCCAATGCATAGCAAGTAAACTGAGTTGAGAGCTTTGTGATCGATTATGGGTTCCTCACAAAAGTGGTTCTTTGTGCTCTTTCTTTTCTTGAGCATCTTTTTAGAGTTGAGTGCAATAAGTTTAGCAAATGAAAAGGTTGAGAAATCTAGGTGGAGGAATGATGATTATTGTAGGTTTCGTAGGAGAGGATGTGGTCGTTTTGGGGGGCGTCGTGGATGGGGAGGACGACGAGGTGGTTTTGGAGGTGGTAGAGGTGGTGGAGGAGGATTTGGAGGTGGTGTAGGTGGTGGAGGGGGTGTTGGTGGGGGAGGTGGCATTGGTGGTGGTAGAGGAGGTGGAATTGGTGGTGGGTCTGGTAATGGTGGCGGATTTGGTGCTGGGGGAGGGGTAGGAGGTGGTGCAGGTGGAGGACTTGGAGGCGGAGGAGGCGGTGGTGCAGGTGGAGGAGGAGGTATTGGAGGTGGTTCTGGTCATGGTGGAGGATTTGGAGCTGGAGGTGGTGTAGGAGGTGGTGCAGGTGGAGGACTTGGAGGGGGAGGAGGCGGTGGTGCTGGTGGAGGAGGAGGTATTGGAGGTGGTTCTGGTCATGGTGGAGGATTTGGAGCTGGAGGTGGTGTAGGAGGTGGTGCAGGTGGAGGACTTGGAGGGGGAGGAGGCGGTGGTGCTGGTGGAGGAGGAGGTATTGGAGGTGGTTCTGGTCATGGTGGAGGATTTGGAGCTGGAGGTGGTGTAGGAGGTGGTGCAGGTGGAGGACTTGGAGGAGGAGGAGGCGGTGGTGCTGGTGGAGGAGGAGGTATTGGAGGTGGTTCTGGTCATGGTGGAGGATTTGGAGCTGGGGGTGGTGTAGGAGGTGGTGCAGGTGGAGGACTTGGAGGGGGAGGAGGCGGTGGTGCTGGTGGAGGAGGAGGTATTGGAGGTGGTTCTGGCCATGGCGGAGGATTTGGAGCTGGAGGTGGTGTAGGAGTTGGAGGAGGTGCAGGTGGAGGTGGAGACGGAGGCGGAGGTGGCCTTGGGGGAGGATCTGGACATGGTGGTGGCTTTGGTGCAGGCAGTGGCGTAGGAGGAGGAAGAGGAACTGGTGGTGGTGTTGGAGGAGGTGGGGGGTTTGGAGGCGGTGGAGGAGGAGGAGTAGGGGGTGGATCAGGTCATGGTGGAGGTTTTGGTGCAGGCGGAGGTATAGGAAGTGGAGGTGGAGGTGGGGCTAGTGGTGGATTAGGGGGAGGAAGTGGTGGTGGTGGACATGGCGGAGGAATTGGAATTGGTATTGGCATAGGGGTTGGTGTAGGTGTTGGGGGAGGTAGTGGCAAAGGTGTTGGTGTTGGGAGTGGGTCGGGAGGTGGTGGCGGCAACTGATCTCATAATTCCCTTAGCCATCAAACTTATATACAAATGAGCACTTTAATTATTACTCCATATATCATTTGATTACTAGGTTGAGTTGGTGTTGTTTTGATGGAAGAAACTACAATATGCATTTATTTAATCTAATTGCATATTATGATAATGTATTGCTTTTCATTTGAATTGTGAATTTCATTGCAACACTAAATGTGATCATTTGTAATACTTAAATTTGAATCAAAGAGTTTTCCATTCATCTTCCTTTTGCCAGGTACGTTGTGAAATTATTTATTTATTCATTTATTGCACTATGATGATTATATATAATAATTTTGATAACAATCCTTAACACTTTTTTCCAGTATTTTTAAAAATACATAACATGAAATATCGTTTTAACATAGTAAGTCTTTTTAAATAACACTATTTGCCTTGTAAAATAACTTGAAAATGGTTGACAAAAGCTACATGTATTTTACTTTTTACTCAATTTTTACTCCATGTTGGCTACTTGGATTGATATGTTTAATAATAGTACGTATTTAAATGTGGAATGACAACTTTTCAATCATAACCTTTTTTTTAGTACTACTAACTCTATTACAATGTAGTATCTGTTCATAATTATTTGAAGTTGAGAGTGTAACTTTGTGCCACTAGACCACAAGGTTTCTGACCATCACAACTTATTTCAATTGAGAGAATAATCAACTTTTTTTTTTTTTTTTTACTTGTGACTATTGAATATTTGATTGAGATAATCAAATGTGACAAAAAAAAAAAAAAATACATTTGCACTAGGTGTACACCAAATGTAAGAAGATTAATAATTAAAATTTAAATTTAAACAAAAAACCAGTAATATAGACAATTTAAATTTGACTAGAATAAAAATTCCTAAATTTTTTAACATATGATATGATAGTATAAGTATAATTTTTAGAGGTGAATCATAGTAATAAAAAATTTGAGTCCACCTAACCATTTTCAATAAGAATCTATATTAAAAAATCAAATGAAAAACTAATTTAACTGGCGTACGTGGTCGTGCATTCTTATTCTTAAAAATATAGTTCAAACTCCCTCATATATGAAAACACCAATTCGGTCAATCCCTCTCATATGAAAACACCAATTCGATCAATATTTAGACCCTTAATTGGGTCCCATACGAAACCTTAAACAGTTACGGCTCGTTTGGTTCGTTAAAGGAATTGGAATTGGAATTTCATGAAAAAAACAATTACTAGGAAGATGAATTTCATTGTTTGGTTGGTGGAAAAAGAATTACTGAGAATACTAATTCTATTATTTGGTTAGATTTGGAATTGTAAGGAATAATGAGTATAAAGACCTATATGTCCATACAAATTAATAAAAGTAATATAATTAAAAAAGAAAGCAAGGGTAAAATAGGCAATCTATTCACTTTTTCTTCCCATCTTCCATGTAAAACAAAATCCTTGGTCCAACCAAGGATTTTGTTTTCCTCAAATTTGAGGAATTCATTTTCCAATGAAAAATGAATTCCATGAACCAAACACTAGAAAACAACATTTTCCTTCACTTTAAGGAAAATATTTTCCTTTGGAAAACATTTTCCATGAACCAAACATCCCCTTAGGGATTGTTCAGGATTTAAAAAAAAAAAAAAAAAAAAAAAACAAAAAAACAAAAACAAATAAAAACAGAGCTTAATTCTCAACGGAACCAAACGTCCTGTCGGATGAGCTGACGGAAGCCATCGCAGCTTCTCTGCAAGATATTCAGTATTCAGAACAGGAAAAGCGGCGATCCTGCTTACATGTATTTGATTCTAAAGGCACTCTCTGTGTTGACATTGGCCGAAGCTATTGCGCTTGTGGCCCTCTTCTTCGACACTCCGATTCAACAATGGATTTTGGTTGCCCTGGGTGGCTTCAAACGCGGCAGAGCCCCTCTGGTGGTCAAAGGCGTATGGCTTTCTCTCATTGCTGTTTTTCTGTACAGCTTTTTCAGTAGTTTTCTTATAATCCACCGCCACGGCGTCTATTCCGACTCCATTCCTTTTGCCTCTCGGGTCAATCTCACTTGCCAAATCGCCCAAGCTCTCCTCGCGGGTAATTCTTCAACTTTTAGGGTTTTATTCTTGATCGTTGTTGAAAACTACTCCAATCACACGAAATAGCGATGCAATACAGAGTTATAGAACTATAAAAAAAGCATGTTTACATACAAACTTTGAGTTCATCTGATTGATTTGTTAATTTTTACATACCGTTTAGATGAGTAAATTTTATTGTTTAGGCTGTTGCTTCATTCTAAATGCAATCCGTTTTCAGCTAATTTGTTCCGTTTGTTGTCCTCTTTGCTTTTGATGAAAGGTAGCTTTTGGTTTGGATACTGGACTCTGAAACAGTTTCATAACTTAGAAATTCTCTGAGGGTTGTTATGTATTTGGAAATGAAAATTTGGGGTTGAGGGTAGTGCTGAGGGAGGTAAAATGATCAAGTTAAGGCCCAAATTCCTAGTTAGAAATTTGTCAAAAGATTACAGAGAAAATTCTCCAACTTTTGGTGGAGGACAATGGTAATAGGGACTTTTGACAGAGCAGGCATATTGGCACTCAATCTGAAAATGTGAGAAACCTTCATAATACATGCAAATTTAGTAACTAACATTGACAACCTTATTTCTTAATCCTTCGTTTCATGTTAGACAGCAATTGGGCTAACAATTACAGTTTTCAGTGGTTTTCTGGGAAATCCCACTGGTGTTTAGGATATTTCTGAATAGTACTAAACTTGTGGAACTGACGAGGAGTTTCGTAATGAGTGTCTTGCTAGTAATCTGGCTTATCAAATGTTGCCTGTTGGTTGTAAACGCTATCCAGGTCTTGCAACTTATTAATGTCTTTTCATATGAGTGTTGTGGTGGTGGATAGCATCATAGAATGTTTGGACTCAGACTATCGGAGGGCATATGTATGTGCTCAAAGAGAAGCAGTTGGCTTGGTGGAGATGGAGTATTGGGATATTAGCTTGAAATTGATTTCTTATTCTTGAGGTTCCCCATAGAGAATTGGGCTGTTAAATTTATTTGTTCCAAATGAAATAGAAATTTATGGAAGCAGTCCACATTAAATGAGAGTATCATTTAGACTAGTATACATAAAGCAGACATCTTGTTTGGTTTGCCCCAAAGAAAGTATTCAAAACCATTTCCTTCTTCAGAATACAAAGAAATGTTTCATGTAAATTCATGCAAATCTTGATATTCAATTCACTTAATATATGCATCTATGGAGAAAAGTATCCTTGAAGGACCTAAACTTTGGGTTAAAAATCAATGCAAGGCTTTAACTTTCAATTATACTATATAAAGACCAGAATCTTTAAATGGGTAAAGTGTTGGTGCCTATTTAGCACATAAAAGGATGACTAAATTATTGATGGGTGACACGTCACTGTTTATTTATTTTTTAAATAAATTTATTAATATCTTATTTGGGAAAAAGAATTTAACAACCAAAGAAGTTCCAGCAAAGGAAAAGTGACAAATGGTGAAACGAAATTGAGGTAAAATGAGTTGTATACAACAGTATTCATCTAAATTTGAATCCATTCTTCTTCTTTTCTACCCTATTTAGGTATTAACTTATTCATTTTTTTTCCAAAGTAGTAACTTGTTTATTGTTTTCCCTTAATGTTGTCAACTGCTTCCGATCCCTGGTTGGCAGCAATATTTAGAACTTGAAGATTTCAAGTCCTAAAATGGTGCAGTTAAAACTTAAGACCCTTAATTGTCTTTAGGATCAAAGTTGAGGTCCAGGTCCTTACACTCGTGATCAGGGACATGAATCTCCCCTATAATGCAGTTTGTCATCATTCCATTTTGCATCTAGTTAACTTACAGTGTTTCTATTTTCTAAATAACGTTTGGTTTTGCAGGATTTTCAATATTTACCTCGGTGATGATAAACAAAACTTACAATCTTATAAAGGAGCACCGTTCATTGGGAGAGATGATCAAGGCTGAGGAGAAACACCTGGTGAAAACAAAAAGGTGCATGGCAAGGCAACAGCATAGTCTATTATGGGAAGTTACTGCACTAACAGAACAGATGAAGAAGCTGGAATTCAACTCCCGGGTTGAAGCAAAGAGGGTTGAGTTTGCAAATGCTAGAGCCTTGGCATTAAAGAACCACTTTGATGAACTCCGTCTTAAATATGATGAACTGCTTGAATACAACCAAACCATCCAGAACCAGTTGCAATGCATTAATCCAGAACTGCAGAACAATAAACATTCAGATGAAAAGAGATGTAATATGCTGTTTGATAATGAAGCCGAAGCAACAAACTGGTGCAGACAGTACCTTTTCCCCGACTCTCATTCCTTGCCCTCTCCAAGACATCGCAGACCTGTCTATCAGTGTTGAAGGTTCTTAGAACCTATTTGTTGTTCGGCATTTGTTTATCCAGGTTTGATGTATATACTATTTAGGAAAGAACAACCTTACATCTACAAATCTATGGAGAAGCCTCATAGCAGTTTATTTTTCCCCATTGCTTTAGTGGCTTGTAACATCTGACAAATAATATTCTCTGCTAGGATAGGTTAATGTTATCTTTGAACTTGGTTTTTTTTTTTTCTTGAGGTTCAGATTATTCCTGGTTAGATTACACTTGGTACAGTATGCATTTCTAATCTTAGTTATGTCGATCTTTATGCTCCTGGTGGAATGTGAAGCCTCTGATGTTTATAAAGAAGTTTATCCAACTTGTATAACATTAGGAGATGTTTCAAAATTTGGATCACATCATCCTGCTATCTTAGTATTGTTACTCTTGATACCTATTTAGGATTTTATTTTCTTGAATTTCTCCTTCAATCTCTTTGCCGATGTGGCTTCTATTCATTAAGTGTCATTGTGTCAATGACGCCACTAATTCGTTAAAAAAAAAATAGTTGTCCAATCAGATAATGACACACCAAGAGAAAAAGATTAGAGGGGAAATACTGAAGTAATGTATAACATTACATTTAAAAGAAATTTATTTATAAGTAGGATCCACTATGATGAATGGAAATATAAATTTGTAGAAGGGAAAAAAATTAAAGTTGGAAACATGACAAATAATTTTGAAACTAGAAATTTTGTTTTGAAGTGATACTACACTCTCATCTTACATTTATCTTTTTATGTTCACCTCCTAACATAACATTATTTAATTGTTTTTTTTTTTGTATTTAATTAATTAATAAACATTTCTT